TGCATTGACACTGGCAGAACTCAAGGGCCAATATTTGACGAAGATATATATTTTCTTTAAAAACCCAGGAAACAAGCAAAGTTTGTTGCAGGTCCATTAACTAACAACCAGGGCACATATAGAGTCTGGAAGAGTCCATTGTAACATCAGCTATCACTTCCTACTGAATGAGATCATCTTTCTGTGGAGCACCCTGAGCTCAGACAGAAGGCAGTTTTAAACAACAGAAGCCAAAGGGCAGCCGTGAAGAAACAATATATCATCACAAGAGACAGTGAGGGAGAACTGGCACAGAAGCCCTGGGCTCTGCCAGCACCCAATCAAACCTTTGTGACACAGTGGGGTTGATTAGTTCCTCGGTGATTTTGCATTTGCATCGACCAAGAAACCTAGATTACCCATTCTCTACCTTTCGGGCAAGGGCTGTGATTGGAGAGGCATTTTCTATTTTCCCAAATACTTTATGTCAGGAATAAAATGAAAAAAGGTCCCCAAATCACAGTCCCTTTATAATCCATCAGAGTATTCTGCTGAATAAGCACAACAGGCCCCTGTTCTCTTGGAGAAGACAAACACCAACTTGAGATTCTGCTTCCATTATGAAAAATAGACCTTCACTCAGCGTGCTTAGCCCAGCTCTGGCAATACACAGGGAAGAAATTGCTCTCCACTTCGAAGCTAATATACATATATCCTAGAACATACATATGTACACACACACACACTGTAAGCATATTTCTACACCTGAAAATGAACAAACATATATCTGTACACACCGAACAGATAAAAACCTTCTCAATAGTCTTTTTAATGACAATGAATAATTCAGCAAGGCCTCTTTTACACTGCAAAACAAAAACAAACAAACAAAAATACCTACCAGTACCTATTTCTAAAGACAACAGAAAACATGGAATTGCCTACCATTCGAGAGAGCATGCAGCTCGTTATGACACCAGGAAGATAGAGAAATGCTCTTATTGACTTGACGCAACATGACATCAATAGAAATGCACCTCTTTCCTGGCCACAGTTCTGCCGCGATGGGACTGTGGATTTATTCAGATTCTTCATCCATAAAATGAGATTGCAGACCTTTTCTGCCATCCTCTTAATTTGGAAATCATCGGACTCTACGATGCTTTGGGAGACAATTTTTGTTTACCTCCTCAAATAATTAATGGGGTTTTTAAAGCTTATTACAGTTAGTAAGGATGTTCGAGTCAATCACACAAACAGAACTAATTCTATAACTGATTAGAAACTAATTTGTCATTCAGGAAAGCATTTCTGCTGATGTTGCTGATGACTCCGAGAAACAGCTAATGCTGGAGCCATCTCAGGAGCCATTCCCAGTTGCCTTCCAAGACACAGTAGACTGTCACCTCCCCTCGCTTCCCCTGCATCTCTACTGCAATGGGAGATCCTGTTATATCTACTTCCTTCATGTAGACCTTACTCTAAGGCTATGTGTGATCAAAGTGATCTGTAGAGAAAACGTTCAGCTCACGGCTTTGAATGGATTGAATTGTGGACCCCCAAAGTATGTGTGGAAATTCAAATTCCTTGCCAATAAATATGACCTTGTTGACAATTTAGAGTTTTTATTGAGTAAATAAGAACATGCCAGTATAAGGTATGTCCTACACCCAGTAACTTCCGAGATAGACAAAGACAAAAAGATACACAAAGAAATACATACAGGGAATGGCAGGTGATGTGTGAGGGTCATCTATAACTAAAAGAACTCCAACGATTGCCGAAAGACACCACAAACGAGGAGACAGCCTCAAAGAAGGAACTGACATCGCCGAGATCCTGACATGTACTTTCAACCAGAAGAACTGTGAGATAATACACTTCTGTTCTTTAAAGCACTCACTGCGATACTTCTGGTACAGCAGCACTAGACAACTAAGACATTGCTCCAGTGGCCACAAAGTAGACGAGGGGGTACCCTCCTCCCCCCGACCAAAAACAGATTTTTTTTCGAAGCTATGTATAATTTTTTTTTATTACAAAACAACCTTATCACCTTCAAAGTACTCTCCATAATACTTAATACATTTGTCAAATCTGCAATTCCATTCTTGGAAACATTTTTCAAACTCATCTGTTTTGATGGCTGTGAGCACCTCTCTCATTTTTATCCTCACCGCTTCTAAACCATCAAATCACTATCCTTCATGTCCCTCTTCACTCATGGGAACAAAAAGAAGTTGCACAGAGTGAGGTCAGGTGAGTCAAGTGCATGGGACAAGAGAGACATGCTGTTTTTTACCAAAAACTGGAGCACTGAGATGACTGCATGAGTAGGTGCATTGTTGTGGTGGCAAAAACCGGTCCCCCGTGTGCCACAAATAAGACCTTGTTTGTCGAACACTGTTACTCAATCTTTGCCAAACCGCTAAATAGAAAGCTTGATTAACAGTCTGACCTGGTGTAATAAACTCCAAATGCACTATGTTTTATGTGTGGGGGCACACATAAAAACAAACAAACAAATGAGTGTCATCTTGATCTTTGATTTCACTTTGATGAGTTTTTTGGGGGGAGTGAGAAGAGGATGGCATCTTCCATTAGATTGATTGATGTTTGCTTTTAGGGTCATAAGAAAAGCACCATGTCTTGTCACCAGTAACGAACTTTGGGGGGTGGGGGGGTGTCTGGGTCACTTTCGAGTTAATTTTCCAAAGCACAGCATGTTTCTAATAATGCTCTTTTTGCTGGTCAGTCAGAATCCGAGGCACAAATTTCATAGCAACCCCTCTCATTCCCAAATCTTCTATTAAAATTCACTGAACTGAGCTCCAAGATAGTCCAGATAACTCCCCCATTTCTCTAATGGCCTGTGGTTGGTCTTTGAGCACAGTGCATGAATTTTGTCAACATATTTGTCCATTTGGGAAGTTGACAAATGTCCAGAATGGAGTTTGTCATCAGTCGGCATTTCACCTTTTTTGAAATAAGAAAGACATTCATACACATGAGGTTTTTTCCATAGTGCTATCCTTGTACTCTGTATTCAATGTCACAATAGTTTCTGTGGCAATTTTCCTAATCAGGAAACAAAATTTCACAGCCATGTGCTTTTCTCTTAACTTGACCATCACAAAAAAAAACAAGGTTTCAGTGAAACTGCTTTTATGACAAAAAAATTCACTGTGACCAGAAACAACCTTCCCAGGCAACACCACTGGGTGCACTAACTCAAAAATATTTGGTCAGTGCTTGCCTAGCAGGGAAAATGTGTACTATGTAAGCTCTGCCCAGCAGAGCACTTTTTTGTGTGTGGGGGAATACCCCCTTACATATGCTGCGATGTTGGGTACCATAATTAACTTCTCTGGGTCTGGGTTGCCCCCTTTATAAAGGGAGGTAATTATTCCCTTTCTCCCCATATAGTGTTTCATGAAGATTCACAACCTTATATGCAAAAGACATTAGGAAAGTAGTGAGCACACATTGAGTGCCTGATATAGTTGGCATAACAATGATTACCCCTTTGGGTTTTTAATTACAGTGTAGTACAGTTTACAGCTAAATAAAAGTAAGTATAGGAAAAATAGAGATCCAATCTATAAAGTGTACACATGAAAAGTACTACATAGGATGGGCAGGAACCCAAGACGCTATAAAGATTTCATCCCTTATACTTCAATATGTGACAGTGGCTGTCTCTGGAATTATTTCACCAAAAGAAAATAAATAGTTCAAGAATAAATTACTTCATTTGGACAAAATTACAAAAGCCAGACCAACTAAAGGAAGTCACGGGCAATATGTCAAACCTATGCTTCTCTAAAGAGAATTGTGAATACATTAATAACTACGGAATGAACCACTCAATTAATTCCTGCATGCTGAAACAGGTAACAATACATTTATCTGCCAGTATCATACCCTTCGTATCATCTATTTTTACAACTACTTGCAATTTTATTTAGTATAGCAGGAAATCAGTTGTACTACATGGAGTCAAGGAAAGAAAGCAGCCTAAAGTAGGCTGCCAGCTGAGCGACTTGTGAAAGAGGTTTCATTTTCCCATTTTGTTTTTCCTTTCCCCTGTCATCATTCCCAGTGCACATAATATAAATATAAATATAAATGTTTTAAGTCAATCATCAAGGGCAAACAAGACCTCTCAAATTTCTGTGGCAGTATTTTCAACACTTAAGCGGTAGCCCCACACAGGAGGGGGACAGAACCCCACTGAACTCCACAGCAGTGATAGACCTTCAAAGAGACCAGAAAGTCCAGTCCCCAGCCCTTACTGCACTGAGAGTCTCCAAATCCTCCCAAAGAGATAGTCGTCTCTGAATCTAAGATCCAGAGCCAAACCTCCCCTGTCTCATCAGCACGGTCATTAGTATGACACCATGTTAAAGTATACGGCCTCTGTGTGGCCTCAGCTGGCAAGGTAAAGGCCAATAAATACCATTCTGATGAGCTCTGGAGAGCTACATGTGAGGAGCACATGCCAGATCAGGGACACATTGTCAGAAAAAAATTGCCTTTCTGACTAATGATATCTTGGAGAGCTATGGAGACCTTGCTTGTGAATGGCAAAGAATCACTCTCCCTTAGCTCCTCTTTGGACACAAGAAAGAAGGGTTCACATGTGAGGCACCAATGGAATCCTACACCTCCAAGAAATAATAACTGCCCCATACTTTCTCCTTTCTCCTTTTTCAGCTTCCAAACTGCAGAGGCCCCACTTTGTATTGATAATGTTTTCCAGAGGAAGGCTAGAACTTCATTGGTGTGCCATGAACAGTGCTACTTTCCTAGTCAAACAGTTCTTGGATGAGAACAATTTACATATAAGGACTTTATGGTAATTCACTTCTCTTAGACTGGATCACAAGAAACAAACCCTGTGTGAAACTCTACCCGGATTTTAAACAAAGATACATATTCCCCATGCCATGAAGAGTAGCTGGTGCCATAAACATGGCCTGAGTAACCAGGAGAGTGAAGAACAGGAAGTAGGGTCTGACCTTGGGTTTCACCACCTTCATGAATGCACCTCTGACCAAAGCCTCTTCTCGTTCCCATTTGGTTACTTTCTGAGCATCCAGAAACTTCAAGTTAGGTAGCTTGTACAAAACAAAGTATCTGCAAAGCAGTAAAAGACAAATATATTAAAGCTGGGGTGAACAAAAGTTTATGTAACTTCTTATATCTTCAGAAATCCACACCATTAAGTTTTCATAAGTGAAGATCTTGGCTGTTACACTTCTCTATTGCTTTGCAAAGAAGAGTTAACAGCATTAACAATCACTCTTTGGTGAAATATAAATGGTCATAATTTACATGGACATCAAATTAAATGTCATAAACACACCCCAATGACATCACTTGGATCAAAGAAACATTCACCTACAGACCCTTCAATCAGCGAGTAAAGTCCTAGTAATGTGTTCTCCTCATTCCAGTCTAGAAAATAGGTCTAGCTTCTTTGCTACTCTGTAAAATTAATGTACAACCTGGCCACATTGTTTATATCATCAGCATTTCTAGGGGCCACCTGCATCACTTTCAACTCTGGAGAATGAAACATACTGTATTAGTCTGGGTACTTTAGAGAAACAAATCCACAGAAACTCATACATAAGAGAGAGTTTTAGATAAAGGTTAAGTGTGCATCAAGAAAACATCCCATCCCAGTGCTGCCCAAGGCCACAAGTCCAACATTAACCCATTAACCCATATGTCCAACACTAATCCACAAAGTCCTCCTCCATCTCACAAAACAGATGCAATGATGCCGACTGCAAGAGGAAAACTGAGTCAGTGAATGTATAAACATCTCAGCACTGGCAGGGGTCTTCACAGGGGTGCTCCAGCACCCAGGGTTGCATGGGCTAGGCCCATGCAGCTTCTCCTTGGGGATGTCTTGCAGGAAGTGAGCCTTGCAAGCTGAAGCAGAAAACTGCTATGGCAGCTGCACCCTGGTCCGGCCACCAGAAAGCAAGAGACCCAAGAACTAGAAAGGCAAGGCTCACTGAGCCATTTATCCCTCTGCCTTTCAATTAATCCCACATGTATTTATCGGCCAGGTTGGCACAATAAACTAACTACCTCACATGCCTACAAGTTAAAGTGAGACAACAGGCCTTGATTGAGCATCCAGGTCAATAGATTTTCCATTTTACTGTCAACAAGGCTGACCTCAGGATAAAAGTCAGGAACATATGAAGCTAACAAATGCTCCTTGATGAATAGAGCAGCTGTCTTAAAAACTCAGATAACAAAAAGTTATGGATGATAGTGGGAACTCAAAATCTATTTGCAGGATCACCACATGGGATGCCCCTCCAGTGACTTCTAATACACATTTACTAGAAACAACAATAACTTCCAAAATCAGCTGCTGAGCATTGTAAAGCGGATTTTAGCAACTGTGCTCAGGCTGGAAGGTACTGTTATGTAATATGACCTCCCTATGGATCAAATGCAAATGTACTCTAAACTTTTAATATGCTCCGCTTTCTATTAGATTGAAGTCTCTATTGGTTTTGAATGGCCATTGTTGATGAATCCTCACGCAGTGTGTGCCCTAGTCTTGTATAGTTACTGTATAGGGAAACTGGGATTTATGAAGAGATAATAGGAGATTAATGATTACCTGGGGATACAGAGGAAAAAGCAAGGAGAGAGGAGGAATCAATATCAATTGTAAAAGAAGGTGAGAAAAACCTACAAAATAGATTTGTGATATGATTGAAACATTGAATTGTATGTTAATTATAGATCAATACAAAATAAGAATTTTAAATTCTCTTCTTGAATTTTTTTCATTTTTCTTATCAGAGTTGTTTCCATGATGGAACTATCAACATTGTTTTTCTCAATGAGAAACAAGGGGGGTTAATTTATAGGCAATCTTAACTACTCATCAAATTTGCTTTCCCTTCTTCTAGAAAGATTCTTTATATCCATTACAAACTTCAAAGATAAGCCACTGACTACTTTTGATGAACTGTCCTCAAGCAGTTGCCTGTGAAACTGGCCAGCTGATTCAGTTGGCCTGGGTTTATACAGGTGTCTAGACTTACGGGTAGAATCCTCTTGACTCAGAGACAGTCACCAACTCATATTCTTTCCATCAAGCACTTACACGCAGTCAAATGAATAATTCTTTCAACCGTGTTCTGTTTAGGAAGAAGAGGTGAAAAGGAGAAGCTGGACTTGTTTTCTAGACTAAAAGAAGGAAAGACATTCATCGGCCGTATTGGCTAATTCAAGGTCTGTGTGTTGCTTTGATTCAAGTGATGCTACTAGGGTGCGTTTATGAAGTTGCGTTCTCCATCTTGTTAGGAAGAAAAGGTAAGTGCCCAATGTCAAGGCAATGGATTATTTACCAAAGTAATGATCTATCCAACAGAATCTACCACCTCCTTCTTGTGCCCAATTTCTTTGGAATTCATTCATGTTTCAAGCTTCCCTCCCTTTAAGCTTTCGTTTGCACCTGCACCTCACATTTCTTCCTCTTTTCCAGTAGAAGGCATGATCAGTGCAATGTTTCATGGGCATTCAGTTGGTGTCCTGGCCTAACCAGTATGCATCTGGAGGTCAAGGGCACATTTCTTTGCTCACCCTCATCTCACCTTGGAACCTAGCATTAGAATGGACTAAAAGAAATGTCAGCTCATGTAATAAGGTACGTAAATATTTCTTGAATACCTACTGTATTAGTCTGGGTACTTTGGAGAAACAAATCCACAACAACTCACGTATAAGAGAGAGTTTTATGCAAAGAAAATGTGCATCACG